TTCTGTCCTTAAGTGAGCCTCTCTCAGAGCGTCCCAAATTTCTCTGGCTGAGGTCTTATCACGCAATAGACAGAGCTCTTCTGGGGATACTATCAATGTAAGAGTTCCCCTGCTTTGGAATCCTTAGCTTCCCATGCATCTGTAACTGGAACTGGGGGGGTTTCTGTAATCACCTCAAACAAACCCTCTTTCCGCAGAATTGCCTCTGCATACTGAACCCAGTCGCTGTAATTTTTCTTGTTGAGCTTAGGAATCCCACAAGCATCCTGAAGGGCCATCATGACTCTGGCATTAGCCTTCAGCGTCATAAATGCTGCTTTAAATCTTGCTGCGTCACTGCTGCAGCTGCTTCATTACAAAGGCACACTTAAAAGTTACTTTCGATTTCCCCAGCATAGTGACTTGTGCCTGGGAGCCTTTTGCCTATTCCCAGCAAAACCGGCTTTAAAAGTTCAAAGTCCAGCCATAAAGCCATTAACTTGAAGCTGGCAGGCTGCCCGGAGCAGTAGCACATACCTCATCAATCACTTCTACGCGCAGAGCAGATTCCTTTCCGATCCGTCCCTCTGCATTCCGATCCTCTGCCGGCACTCCGATTCGACCTCTGGAGTCCATAACCACGTGTTGATTTAAAGCAGAGTCTGTCGTGCCCAGCGGAAGGATGAGGAAAATGTGTTACATACTCTATATTGCTTTATTTACAGTTCAAAGCTGGTATATTACAGAAAGACATCTTGCCTCTGCCGGAGCAGAAAATGCATCCTCTCTCCTCTCTCAGCTCGGAGAGAAAACACACAGTGAAAAAACAGGAAACCAGTGTACGTCACATCCAGTCTCCCTTTCCCGTGAGAAACTCCAACAGTACAGACTGTGGAATGTAAACACCTGTCTTGTGACTGCAGTTGCTGCTCAGTGAAGGAAATAGAAACCAACAGAATGTGCTGCATTTAAGGCGTTCCTGGGTAAAGAAAATGGGGCCTAAACTGCTGAGAAGGGATCTCTATGGTTGCCACCCACATGTTTTGGAAATCAGCGAAACTGCTCCCACCAACCTACCCCAAAAGCTCTGGAGAACAGCAAAGTTTTGACAAAGCCAATTAGCTAGTCTTACTTCCCTTCCCAGTGGTTTTTTCCCCCCTTCCCATGGACTATGCAACAACTGGGCTCCAGATGGATTCTATTTGATTTCTACTCAACCTCTCCCTTTAAAAGAAAAGTGAGAATGCTACCAGATGTTTTTTGTATGTTTGTGTTTGACCAGCCATCACACCGCATCGTGAGTCTAAAACAGCGCTTAACGGTCGCTCCCACTGTGTGTTGTGGGAGTATTAATTTTATGATTGACTTCACATACTTTTGTATACTGTAGCCCACTTTTCCGCCCGACAACATGCCTCCAATGAGGCTAACAGAAAGAAGGGAACGAGTAGCACACAATAAACGCAAGATTAATATGCTGCTGCAGCTGTTTTAAGACAGTGGCGGTTGATGAAAGTCTCAACCTCTCTGCCAAACTCAGCCCCATCATTGGAATGCAGACCCAGACCCAACTCATTAGATTAATCCGTAAAAACTCTCCTCCCAGTTCAGTACCATGGTAGTGATGTTCATAGAATTGCAGAGTTGGAAGGGATACCCAAAAGTCATCTAGTCTCATTAGATTAGTGAGCCAGCGTGGTATAGTGGTTAAGAGCGGTGGACTCATAATCTGGTGAACCAGGTTCACTTCCCTGCTCCTCCACATGCAGCTGCTGGGTGACCTTGGGCTAGTCACACTTCTCTGAAGTCTCTCAGCCTCACTCACCTCACAGAGTGTTTGTTGTGGGGGAGGAAGGGAAAGGAGATTGTTAGCTGCTTTGAGACTCCTTAAGGGGAGTGAAAGGCGGGATATCAAGTCCAAACTCTTCTTCTTCTTCTAGTCCAACCCTCAGCAATGCAGGAATCTCAACTATAGCATCCATGACAGATGCCTATCCAACCTCTGCTTAGAAACCTCCAAGGAAGGAGAGTCCACCACCTTCCAAGGGAGTCCATTCCACTGTCAAGTAGCTCTTACTGTCAGAAAGTTCTTCCTGATATTTAGTCAGAATCTCCTTTACGTGGCGAGTTCCCACCCCCACCAGTGGAAATAATGACACATGACACAATTATTAAGGTTAATGGGATAAATAAGGCCACAACTTTATTGGTTACAGGTGATGAGCAGTATTAGCTTAGGCATTGGTCCTAACCGACTATATCTGACTTCAGCTTGTCCACTTGAAGTCCAGGAAGGTTTAACCACCAGTAGGGGGAATCTTGCTGATGCACATCAACTAGGAACTCCCCCGGGGTCACCGATTGGGGTGTGCCTTAGGCCCTCACCTCCCCCGGGGGTGATGCGGCCAGGAATCCCCCCAATCACGCCGAGGTTGGTTCCAGCCACAGTGCACATGTTGGGGCTGTGAAGCCCGCAACCCCACCTCCTCTGCAGGACAGAAGTGGCTTTCCCGCATAGTGTCAGGCAGCTGCCAACAACTCCCACGGCTCGAGTGTTTTAACAACCAGCCTTTATTCCCAGGGAACATCTTGCAACAGGAGCTGGGTTAGGGGACTAGGGGTGCTTCTCAAAGCTCTCAGCCCCTTTAACAAAGTACAGTCATACCTCGGGTTACAGCTGCTTCAGGTTGCGTTTTTTTTGGGTTACGGACCCCCGAAACCCGGAAGTACCGGAACGGGTTACTTCAGGGTTTCGGCAGCCGTGCATGCGCAGAAGCGCCGAATTGCAACCCGTGCAGACGCGGGTTGCAAACGCTGCAGATTGCAAACGTGCATCCCACATGGATCACGTTCACAACCCGAGCGTTCACTGTACAGCTCCCAGAATTCTCTGGGGGGGGGGGGAGAAGAAGAAGAAGAAGAGTTTGGATTTGATATCCCGCCTTTCACTCCCTTTAAGGAGTCTCAAAGCAGCTAACATTCTCCTTTCCCTTCCTCCCCCACAACAAACACTCAGTAAGGTGAGTGGGGCTGAGAGACTTCAAAGAAGTGTGACTGGCCCAAGGTCACCCAGCAGCTGCATGTGGAGGAGCGGAGACGCGAACCCGGTTCCCCAGATTATGAGACTACTAGCTATTCAAAGTGGCATGATACCGCTTTAGATGTATAATGCAGATGTGGCCTTCATCTTCCATGGTGGAATGGAAGTTTTTGTTAGAGGGTTTTCTTTCCTCTGGTGGCAGATGACAGAAACTACGACACCACGAGACCAGTGTAAAACCAAATCAAATGAAGGTTTTATTACATAACAACAAAGCTTGTGGGTGTTTTTCCTTGCAGGCAAAGTTCAAACTGCAACTTTCCCTCCTTTTGTAGTCATGACCAGCTGTACCCAATCTGCCGAAAGCTCACAGAAACAGTTTTTAAAGGTACAAACATCTTTACTGTTTATTTGCAGAATGATTCCCAACAGTTTTCACTCTCACACAGCTACAGTTTCCAACACCTTTAACAAACCGCAGCTCCCAAGATTCTTTGGGAGAAGCAAAGCGCTTCAGGTGTGTTGCATGTGCTTTAAAAAGCATGCTGTGTGTCTGTGTTAAACGTCTGACCCAGTACATGGACTTCTGAACTAGAGCTGTGGGCAAGGTAGTCTTTAAACGCTCCAAGCCATCCTGCGTTCATAGAATACTATGGGGTTATACGTTGAATTTATTAAGCCTGCTTAAGTGATTTATGGATCTTAGCCTTACAGGTGCAATCAACAACCCATACAAGCCAGTGCCTTTGCAAATGAAAGATTCTATCCCGCAGAATACAAAGTTTAATCAACATCAGAAATAAAACCCAAGCCATCAATAGCTGCAATTTCTTACCCACTTAAAAAGCATTATTCTAGGGTTATATTTTTCCCTGATTTGTGTTTTTTTTCTTCCTCAGTTTCAGCTTTAAGTGGGGCTATTGGAGGCGACCACGGACATGTTTCGATATGAGTTAATTAGAATTCTTGTATGGTTTTCTTCTGTTAATTATAGCCTAATTTGATTGCTTAATAGCTCTGCTTTTCGTAATGTTTAGCACCTGTTGTAAATTGCACAAGATAAATGGTCTTCCACCTTCTACCCTGTTTACCACCAACTTCTACCTTCTCCCTTTCATACCACGGAGAGGCATTCTCCATTCTCCTTGCCGCCCGCTCAACAAAGACAACTGCTCCTTCGCCGTGGATCCCAGCCAGAAGAAGAAGAAGGTGATTTTCACTTAAATACCCTTTTTTTATATATAAAAAAAAAACTAAAAAAACACACAAACACCACCACAACAGCAAGGTTTCTTTAAAATAAGAAGAATAATGAGGAAAATTGCACGTGCTCTAAAAACCACGCCGGTGTTGACCCACAGCAAAATGCTGACTTTCACTTATGGGTCATCTATTTTACATTCCCTTCTCCCCATGGCGGGGGTATAGAAGGGGGGGTGAGAGGAAAGGAAAGATCGCACGTGTGTTGTCGCTGTTGTTGTTTTTCCACTCCTCCTCCTCTTTTACAGGATTATTGGGCCGGAGTGGGAGCCCGGGCGCCATTAATTGATTTCACACACACACACACATGCACATTGTACTATGATGCCATTTTTCAAGGCTGCGCATAATTGTATTCTTTCTGCCAGGTTCCATGTGTGGCGTCCTTGTCACACTGTCATTGAAGGCTGATCCCAACCTTCCGTAATTGGAGATGTTCTACTTTTGGACAAAGGTGTGAGGGGCAGCTCAGGGGACCGGAGCTGACATTTACTTCATCAATTTATTTTTATTGTTCCTCCATTTATGGCCGCTGTAACAGCCCTTTAATAGTTATATCTCCTCCCTGTAGGGTATTCTGGTATTTGAAATTTTTTTTCCCCTAACTCATTTGTTCTCCTAAATAACAGTAAAGTGCATTTCAGGCTAACCTTTTTAGACTTCCCATCTCCTCTCCTCTCTTTGGCTTCTCAAAGCAGTCGCGGCTTTAAACTTTCTACAGCGCTGTCAGCCCGAAAGGCCAATGCCATCGGGTCCATGTTGCCGCCGGAGGAACCACGAAACCAGTGCGGGGGCTCCAGCAGATTTTCAGCAGGGCGGCCCCAACCTCCTAGAAAAGCTGCCCCTCATCATTCAAAGCCCGTCATCCTTTTAACGGAGGCAAGGGAAACAGCAATTAATACAACCACCTAGGCTCCTTTTTTTACAATCTCTAGTCAAAGATAGGACCGTAATTAAATCTTTATGACTGACAGTGTAAGTCACTCGTATAATTCTGGAGTTTTGTGTCCTTCCATACTGCCCTTACGCAAAGAAGCAAATAGCAAAATCTGCAACTTTCTTGATACGGTACTGCACAGCATCTCAAACTGCGGTCCCCTGAGCACGGCCGGTACACAAGTACCATTCAGGTGGTAGGCAGAAAGGTTGCCGAACACTAGTAAATATCTGTACCGGCATCCGAATTATTGTTTTTCCGATGAGTGAGACCATTTTAACAAAAGCTCTGGCTTGCAGCCCATGATTTTCATAATATGGCGCTTGTTCTAAAAATAGAATCCATTGATAGATAGGTAAAGGTAAAGGGACCCCTGACCATTAGGTCCAGTCGTGGCCGACTCTGGGGCTGTGGCGCTCATCTCGCTTTATTGGCCAAGGGAGCCAGCGTACGTACAGCTTCTGGGTCCTGTGGCCAGCATGACTAAGCCGCTTCTGGCAAACCAGAGCAGCGCACGGTAATGCCGTTTACCTTCCTGCCAGAGCGGTACCTATTTATCTACTTGCACTTTGTCGTGCTTTCGAACTGCTAGGTTGGCATAGATACACCCTAAAAACTCCCATGGATAAGGGTTAGCTATGGCTGTTCCTGGCAGAGGTGGATTGCGATTGGTTCGGCCACACTAGGCCCGGTGCCTCGGGACGCCGCAACTATGATTTATAATGGAGTGCTAGAGCCGGGGGGGGCACTGAAATTTGAAGCCCCCAAGGCTCACCACTGTTCCTGGATTGGGACAGCTTATCCATTGGTAACCTCATGGTTGGATTAAAGGTAAAGGGACCCCTGACCGTTAAGTCCAGTCGCAGACTACTCTGGGGTTGCAGCGCTCATCTCGCTCTATAGGCCGAGGGAGCCGGTGTTTGTCCACAGACAGCTTCCAGGTCATGTGGCCAGAATGACTAAGCTGCTTCTAGCGAACCAGAGCAGCGCATGGAAATGCCGTTTACCTTCGCGCCAGAGGGGTACCTATTAATCTACTTGCACTTTGACGTGCTTTCGAACTGCTAGGTTGGCAGGAGCTGGGACCAAACAACAGGAGCTCACCCCGTCGCGGGGATTCGAACTGCCAACCTTCTGATCAGCAAGCCCTAGGCTCTGTGGTTTAGACCACAGCGCCACCTGCGTCCCTTCATGGTTGGATTACCCCATTGCAGTCTTGGGGGTGGTCAAGAGAGCGGCTACAGGTTTGTCATGGTCTTTAGCTACAATAAGCTTATGAACTGAACTGAACTGAACAAATAAATTTGGTCCATTTATTTGAATTGGTACTACCAACAATGGAACTCTCACTTTTGTGGTGGGGAGACACCAATCAGAAGCAAACATATAGCAACAAACTTTGTGGACGTGCAGAGCTTGGGATATCTTGGCATTCACCTTTCCCCTTCCCCACACTCTCTCTCTCATTTTATGAAAGATGCCCTCCTTGTGTGTTACACTTTTTAAATAATACAGTGGTGCCTCGGGTTAAGAACTTAATTGGTTCTGGAGGTCCATTCTTAACCTGAAACTGTTCTTAACCTGAGGTACCACTTTAGCTAATGGGGCCTGCTGCTGCTGCCGCCACACGATTTCTGTTCTCATCCTAAAGCAAAGTTCTTAACCCAAGGTACTATTTCTGGGTTAGCGGAGTCTGTGACCTGAAGCGTCTGTAACCCGAGGTACTGTACAGTAAATGTATCGCTAGATAGTGCTTTTACTGTGTTTTGCTGGAACTTCTTCCAGAGTTTCCTCTCTGTGGGCCACCCCCTAACTCCCCTTTAATTGCCATGTGATTAGTTTGTTCGGGTGTCATGGTGTCCTTTGATGTTTTCCTCGTTGTCTTTCTTCTTTCCTAGAGACGTTCGTTTTTGCCTTCTGCTCCCCTCTGCATTTTTGAAGAATCCAAAGGAGCCTTTCTACGCCTTCCAACAAGCACACGTAAAACGGCCGCACCCTTCCTCTCTCACATCTAACGCTCCTTGTAAAACGTGTGGGATTTCTCTCTCCTTTGCTTCGCACGCGCCCTAGACCCTCTCTTGCCTTGTCCTTCCTTTCCCTCCCCTTCCCCCTCTCCTTTCTGTGGGTCACAACCACCGGAGGGTTTTATGTTATGTCTGACATTGTTTGTTGTGCCTCCCACAAGACTTTAAACGCTTCCCAAGATTGAAAGACAGTGGCATAAATGTCAGGGAAATGCCTCCGCAGTGTCAGATCTAATTAGGCGCCTGCGCAAATGGGACAAGCGCAGTCCCCATAAAACATTAGGCCTTCTCCCCATCTCTCTCCTCTGCTCATCCCTTCAAAGGCTGACAAAGAGAGACCCTGTTATTGCAGCAGAGACCTTATCACGGAGAGCAAGGGTCCTGAACCCCTGGCCTACCTGGTGGCAAGTTATCATGTCAAGTCCCCAGTCAGGGGTCAAGCACAGTCCTGCAGACATCATGGAGCACCCAAACTGAGCTCCATCAACCTGGGCAGTTGAGCAGACACAGCACCTCAGCTCCGCTGCCCTTTTTATACAAGGTGTGACCAGAAAGTTCGGTGAATGGTCACAGAAATCGGACAGTGAGAAATATTCGGATATATACAATCAGCATCGGAAACCCACAAAATGCTCACAATTGTGTACAGAGATGAAGCTGTAACTCAAAAGAGAGTTTATGAGTGGTTTAAGCTTTTCCGTGAAGGGCGGCAAACCATCGAAGATGACCCCTGGTCTGGCAGACTGTCGATGAGCAGAACAGTGGCAAATGTCAACAGAATTCATGAGTTATTGATGTGGGATTGGTGTTTGTCCGTCCGAATGATGGCGGAAGAATTGCATATTCCATGTGAAATCGTTACTGAGGTTACTGAGTTGTTCCACCCTCCATATTCTCCCAATCTGGCCCCACCGGATTTCTTTCTCTTTCCAAAACTGAAATCTGCACTGAAAAGGTACAGATTTTCCAAGATTTCACACGTCCAAGCTGCTGAGACAAGGGAACTGAAAGCAGTATGAAAAGAGGACTTCTCCAGAAGTTTCCAACAGTTCTACAAACTTTGTCAATGGTGCATGGTATCAAATGGGTCTACTTTGAAGGCCTGTAAGACATGTATGTTCAAATATTTATCGCTGTCCGATTTCTGTGACCATTCACCGAACTTTCCGGCCACACCTACTACTTTGCATGCTGATGGCAGCATTTGGGTTTGTGGAGGCGTGTGACCCTCACCTGCTCCAAGCTTACTCTAGCTGGGGAATCACACACCTCATCCCAGTGCTGATGAGCCCCACCTGGCCAGCTAGGGAGCTAGGCTATGGGCCTTTGCCAGCCTCTGCCTCCAGGAACAGCCTGCCCACTGCTCCCTATGCCTCAATGTGCTTTGCTGGAACTTCTTCCAGTTTCCTCTCTGTGGGCCACCCCCTAACTCCCCTTTCATTGCCGTGTTCATGGAGACAGCAGCCTTTCTAGCTCTAGTGATGGGTCCTGCTGCTCTGGTTCCTGTGCACTGACCCCATCCCCTTGTCCCCCTGTGAGTACTTCTTACACCAACCTCTCCTTCCCCATCCCCAGCTTGCCCCAGTGTGTCTCAGTCTCGGCTGCCCCCCTTGCTGGGGTCCCCTTCCTCCTCCCCATTGTCCTGCCAGTTCATGACACACCAGCTTTGCTCACCCAACAGCGCTGGATAATAGACAAAGCATGCTTTAGATCCGTATTTCCCAAACTTCCAATAGCCAACACGACCAAGGGAGGAGGAGAATCGTGTTGGCTATTGGAAGTTTGGGAAATACAGATCTAAAGCAGGCTTCGTCTATTATCCAGCACTGTTGGGTGAGCCAAGCTGGTGGGGAGGAGGAAGGGGAATCCCAGTGTTAGGAGTTCAGCCTACACTCGAGTAGGACCCTGGCAGAGACACATGCCCGACTGACATGTTCCCTCCCTCCTGGCCGATTCTTCGGGAGCTTTGAAAGCTTTCTTCAGCCCGAACATCACAGCGACCGATGCCAACAGACACCGGCACACTTAAGGATCCGCAGAGTATTCGCAACTTGTGTGACAGACCTCAGCAACTCAGCATTTTGGCTAATCTACTTTATTTGCATATAAGCACACACGGAGCACTGCAACATGGCTCCCTCTCTCTCTAGCATCAGACAACAAGGAGAAAAAGAACAAAGGACAATAGTCCCACTTCATGGAACACAAGCATCCTGTCACCGTCACTTCCCACTCTGTGGAGTCAAAACATATACCGTCATGTGATAGACAACAATCCCATGACTGCAATCATGGAGCAGGAATTCTAACACCCAGCAAGGGGAGTTACCTTGTTTGGCCAAAAGCCCATCTGGTCCAGCATCTTGCTCTCACAGCAGCCAACCAGATGCCTCCTGGAACCCTACAAGCAGGACCTGAGTACAAGAGCTCTCTCCCCCACCTGAGATTCCTGCATTGCAGGGGGTTGGAGTAGATGACCCTTGGGAACCCTCCCAACTCTGCAATTCTTTGATTCCCAGCAACCGGTGTTCAGAAGCATGCTGAAGGTGGGACACAGCCATCATGGCTGGTAGGCATTAATCGCCTGAACCTCCAGGGCATAGCTTTCCAAACTGTGCATCGCGGCACATTAGTGTGTCAGCTGCAGTGTGTAGGTTTGCCACTCGGGGCTGGAAAGGGGCTAGTCCAACCTGTGGTTTGCTAGTACAGTGGTACCTCAGGTTAAGAACTTAATTGGTTCTGGAGGTCTGTTATTAACCTGAAACTGTTCTTAACCTGAGGTACCACTTTAGCTAATGTGGTAAAGAGCCAGTGTGGAGTAGTGGTTAAGAGTGGTAGATTCGTAATCTGGGGAACCGGGTTCACGTCTCCGCTCCTCCACATGCAGCTGCTGGGTGACCTTGGGCTAGTCAC